ATAGTGACGATAATTGAGTTAATTGTAATAAAAATAATGAGGATTGTAATTTATATGAACAGTGAGAATAGTAATGATAATTGAGAGAGAAATTATTGGTAATGCAGGTAAAACCAATTCCCCACCTTCAACGCGCCCTCTCCCTACCCTGCCCTCCCTACCTACCCCTCCTGCCCTCCCTCCCTCTGCCCTCCCTCCTCCTCCCCTGCCCTCCCCTCCTACCCCTGCCCTCCCCTCCCCTGCCCCTCCCTCCCCTCCCTCCCCCACCCCTCCCCCCTCCCCCTGCCCCTGTCTCCTCCCTACCCCTGCCTCCTCTCCCTACCCCTGCCCCCTCCTACCCCTGCCCCTCCCCTCCTACCCCCTGCCCTCCCTCCTACCCCTGCCCTCCCCTCCTACCCCTGCCCCTCCCCTCCCTCCCACCCCTGTCCTCCCTCCACACCTGCCCTCCCCTCCTACCCTGCCTCCCCTCCTACCCCTCCCCTCCCCTCCTACCCCTGCCCCTCCCCTCCTACCCTGCCTCCCCCCTCCCTACCCCTCCCTCCCCTCCCTACCCCTACCCCTCCCCTCCCTACCCCTGCCCTCCCCTCCTACCCCTGCCCTCCCCTCCCTGCCCTGCCCTCCCTCCTACCCCTGCCCCTCCCCTCTACCCCTGCCCCTCCCCCTCCCTACCCCTGCCCCTCCCCCTCCCCTCCCCTCCCCACCCCTACCCCTCCCCTCCCCCCCTACCCCTCCCCTCCCTACCCCCTGCCCCTCCCCCTCTACCCCTCCCCTCCCCTCCCCCACCCCTCCCTCCCTACCCCCTGCCCCTCCCCTCCCTCCCCTCCCCTCCCCTCCCCCCTGCCCTCCCCTCCCCCCTCCCCACCTCCCCTCCCCTCCCTACCCTCCCCTCCCCTCCCCACCCCCTCCCCTCCCCACCCCTGCCCTCCCCTCCCCTACCCCTCCCCTCCCTCCCCCCCTGCCCCTCCCTCCCTACCCCTGCCTCCCCTCCCCACCCCTGCCCTCCCCTCCCCCTGCCCTCTTCTCCCTACCCCTGCCCCTCCCCTCCCCTACCCCTCCCTCCCTCCTACCCCTGCCCTCCTCCCCCCTACCCCTCCCTCCCTCCTGCCCTCCCCTCCCTACCCTGCCCTCCCCTCTCCCCTCTCCCCTCCTGCCCCCTGCCCTCCCTCCTACCCCCCGTCCACCCGTCCTCTCTCATGATTAACTTCAAACAAAGATGATGACCAAGATGGCGTCAAAATAGCACCGAGACTCGACCATACGGACATTCGAGAATCCAGCAGAAAGTTTCTCATTGATCAGCTTTTTTCTCTTTGCCAGAATTCACCTTTGGCGCCCTGGGGTCCTTGTCTTATGCTGAATAAATTTCAAGCAATTAAATCCTTTTTGTCTCCTAGTTTACATAAATTATAATAAAAACCGTGAAAGGAAAATATCCCAAGTTATTATTGTATTCATTACATCCCCTTACGCACCCGCAAGAGCCTTACTTCTGCCGTGGCATATTTAGTGCCAAGAATTTAATGAAAGCTGTATAAACTCTAACTCTTGAAAACTGTAAGCAGCATAAAAGTCGCTCAGGGACTTCCAGCAGCGAGTCATGAAGTGCAGCGGGCGTCGCTTCCAGTTGTATATACTTTGGCGGGCTGGAGATGGCGCGCGCTCATTGGTCCCTGCCAGCCAATGAGAATGGAAGAATTTTACACAGTGGGGCGCTTTAGTGTTATTATTTTCTTCGGGTAACGATAAGAGTCGGTGCCGGGGAGGTATGAAGACTTCTGTTGTGTTGAGAGCACCTTAATGTGGGCTCCAGATACCTGCAAGCTTTAAACTTTATCTGCGTTGGCTCTTTGCTCTGGCTCTGGCTCTAAAGTTAATGTTTACTAGTGCCTGGCTCTATCATGTTGTTGCTCTATGTTGATCTCGTTCGGATCACATGACGATTAACCATCAGCTTATTTCACCTGATGATTGAACAACCAAGCGGTAACCTACCCTCTTCAATACCAAACCTACCCTACACCTAACTAATGCAAACCCACCCTACCCTAACTAATGCAAACCTACTCCTACCTAACTAATAGAGCCTGCCCTACCCTAACCAACAAAACCTACCCTACCCTAACCAAGCAAACCTACCCCTACCCTAACCAAAGCAAACCACCCACCACCTAACCAAAGCAAGCTTACCCTACCCTAACTAAAGCAAACTTACCCTACCTAACCAAAGCAAACCTACCCTTACCCTAACCAAAGCAAACCTGCTCCTACCCTAACCAAAGCAAACTTACCTGCCCTAACCGAAAACCTACTCCTACCCCACCAAGCAAACCTACCCTGCAGCAACCAAAGCAGACCTACCCCTACCCTAACCAAAACAGAGCTTACCCCTTCCTAACCAAAGCAAATACTCTCTTACCCTGCCTAACCAAGCAATATACCCTAACCAATGCAAACCTACTTGTGCCCCTAGCTTCCAAAGCAAACTTGCCCTGCACTATTAAGCAAACCTGCCTAACCTCAGGCTTGCCTACCTATAGAAACCAGAATACCCTGCCTAACCAAAGCAAACTTACCTACCTAACCTAAGCAAACCTACCCTACCTTGAAAGCAAACCTGCCTAACCAATCAAACCTGCCTACTAACTGACAGACCTACCCTACACAAGCAAAGCAAACTTGCCCCTACCCTAACCAAGCAAACCTGCCTAACCAAGCAAACCTACCCCTACCTGCAAAGCAAACCTACCTACCTAACCAAGCAAACTTACCCTACCCCAACCAAAGCAAACTGCCTGCCTAACCAAAGCAAACCTACCCTAACCAAAGCAAACCCACCTTTACCTGACCAAAGCAAACTTACCTACCTAACCAGCAAACCCACCCTGCCCTGCCCTAACCAATCAAATACCTACCCAAAGCAAACCCACTTCCCCTAACCAAAGCAAACCTACCCTACCCCTAACCAAAACCATGCTTCCCTACCCTTACTAAAGCAGACCTACCTGCCTATTAAACAAACTTGCCAGCCTATTCAGCAGAGCCAGCCTACCCCAACCAAGCAAACCCACCCTAACCCAAACAAACCTGCTCTACTAACCAAAGCAAACCTCCCCTACTAGCAAAGCAAACCTACCTAACCAAAGCAAACCTATACCCTAACCAAAGCAAGCTTACCCTACCCTAACCAAAGCAAACTGCCCTGCCTACCCTGCCTCCTAACCCAAGCAAACCTACTAACCAATGCAAACCTACCCACCCTAACCAAGCAAACTTACCCTACCTATAAAGCAAACCTACCCTAACCAAAGCAAACCTACCTACCCTAACCAAAGCAAACTCCCCTCCTACTACAACAAATGCAGTAAACCTACCTTACCCTAACCAAAGCAAACCCTCCCTAAGCTTGCCCTACCTAAGCATCCCTCTAACCAAAGCATGCCCCTACCCTAAAGCAAGCAAATCTACCTAACCAGCAAATTACCCTAACCAAAGCAAACCTACCCTACTAACCAAAGCAAACCTCCACTACCTAACCAAAGCAAACTTACCCTAACCAAAGCAAACCTACCCTAACCAAGCAAACCTACCCTACTCCTAACCAAAGCAAACCTACCTACCCTAACAAAGCAAACTTACCTTACCTAACCAAGCAAACCTGCCCTACCTAACCAAAGCAAACCTACCTAACCAAAGCAAACCACCTACCCCTACCTGCCAAGCAATTTACCCTACTCCTAACCAAAGCAAACCTCCCCTACCTAACCCTAGCAAAGTACCTACCCTACCCAGCAAACCTACCCTACCCTAACCAAAGCAAACCTACCCTCCCACCCTAACCAAAGCAAACTTATCCTACCTAACCAAAGCAAACCTCACCTCTAACCAAGTAAACTTGCCTACCCCTAACCAAAGCAAACTCCCTACCCTAACCAAAGCATCCTCCTAATAAAACAAACCTCCTACCCTAACCAAAGCCCAATTACCCTATTAAACAAAACCTCCTCTAACCAAAGCAAACATTCTACCTAACCAAAGCAAACCTACCTCTCCTCCCTACACCTAACCAAGCAAACCTACCTAACCAATGCAAACCTACCTTACCCTAACCAAAGCAAATACCCTACCCTAACCAAAGCAAACCTACCTAACCCAAAGCAAACCTACCCCTACCTACCTAACCAAAGCAACCTACCTACCCTAACCTAAAGCAAACTTACCTACACTCCTACCCCTACCTAATTCTACCCTTCCCCAGGTATAGTTAAGGTATATAATCATCAGTTGAAATAGCTGTACGGGTATACCTAATCGTCCTGTCATATTGTTTCTTTTTACCAATACAATAAGAAGACTCAGACATTTTTGGCACCAAATTGTTTTATTCGCCAACGTGTGTTAAAATGGGGTGTGTTTGTGGCGGAGATTGTAGAATTAACGATGATGGCAGTATAGGAGAGCAGCTTTTGTCCATCACGGAGGACGCTTGTAAAAATGTCTTTGTGTTTGCTTGTAAAGGTAGGCGGGAAGAGAGACCGCCTTTGTGTATGGCAGGACACTGTGTTATTGTTAATGGTGTTCTTATTCGTCTTATTATTAATATTATTTGTGTTGGTATTTATTATTGTGGTTTTATGGTTATTATTGTGGTTATTATCGTTATTATGGTTATTGTGGTTATTACTGTAGTTTTTATTATGTTTTACACCTAAAGTGTTACTGTACAATCACTTTACAATCGTTTACCCTCAAACTAAATATATGAGCACTGCAAAATGTTCTCAGGTGCATATTTCACCACAGGTTCATATATGTATACTAATAATTATTATCTACGACTATAGATGTCCAAATATGTCTGTTGCTGCATATATCATTCATTATAACACGTGTTCTTTCATATCACGTGTGACTTATTTACGTGTTTTGTCACCATAGTCAGGTGTGTGTATGGATGACGTGTTGTTATTATTGTATTTTCCTTAACTACCTGATCACTTGGTTCGAGCGTTTGAGTATGTTTGTCATCCTTCTCAACTGTGTGACGCTGGGCATGTACCGGCCCTGTGTCGACGAGATCTGTGACACCAACCGCTGCAAGATACTCCAGGTGGGTACTGTCCGGTCATATTGGGTACTGGTGGGTGGTACTGTCCAGCCCTTGCTGGGTACGTGCCACCCCATATTAAATTAAGTATAGGGCTCGTTGTTTAATGATGTCCAAGTGTGCCTTTGGTGACGTCACACCTCAAGCGAGTTCAGTATTATTTCTTCAACGGAATTAATGATGAAACCTTACCGGGGAAAAACATATCTTAAGTTTATATCAAATGAAAGTACCAGCAATAACAACAAAAGTATAGAATTAAAGTGATAGAGTGAAGTTTGGACATGATAGTAAGGGTCATTTGTAATCTGAGTATGACCAAGGTTTGAGGTGATCTGGGTCAACAGAGGTTACGAGATGAGATAATGGCCTCGTTATAGTTATCTGTGCGGTGAGTGGGTGATGGTAGCTCGCCTTGCTGAATAGTGGTCATATATCCTAAAAACAACAGTACAATAGTTAATGGTGTAACTCGGTAACAACCAAAGTACTTAATGGTGTATCTTACTTTGACCTGCCTTAAATTAATCGATTGTTATGACTTTAATATAGAAACAAAAGCTGAAATTTGAGGTTTTTAGTGGAAAGTTTGTACTGTAAGTGTAGGTGGCCGACCATCTGTTGTGTGTGTGTGTGTGTGTGTGTGTGTGTGTGTGTGTTGTGGTGAGACTTACCACCTCTGTTCTCCCCACCGCTACTACAGATGTTCGACGACGCCATCTTCCTTCTTCGCGGTGGAGATGGTGATCAGATGGTGGCCATGGAATGGTCGGGCAAGGGCGCCTATATGGCAGACTCCTGGAACAGACTCGACCTCTTCATCGTCGTCGCCGGGTGAGTTTTTGTCTATCTGTGTTTATTTTATCTCTTATTATGTATAAAGGATTCTGTCTGTCTTGCTCGTGTCGTGAAGAACGCCGCCAGGCAGGTCAGGCGAAGGAACGACAGACACTACTGTTGATTGCTCTCTCTCTCTCTCTCTCTCTCTCTCTCTCTCTCTCTCTCTCTCTCTCCAGGCTAAGTTACGCCACAGATAACAGAGCCAGCGTAGGGGTTGGGTCGGCCAACCAACATAATAGCCGACGTGGTGACAGCCGTAAATATTCAAGGCTCCACCAGCAACCCCATGTATGTAGATTGTCCAAATACAAAATTCTGAATATATTTCCTACAGCGCCACACAAATAAGAGTTTAATAACAGCGCGTATAGTATTACTTGTTCGTATATTTTGTATAGGAATTTACGATATTAATATTTCCCAACTTGCTGAGTTACGTGTGGCTTAAGAATAAAAGACAGAGATTGAATATTTTTTTTGGTATTTCATCTTTAGTGTAGCTCTTTAGTGTGTGTGTGTGTGTGTGTGTGTGTGTGTGTGTGTGTGTGTGTGTGTGTGTGTGTGTGTGTGTGTGTGTGTGTGTGTGTAAAAGTATTTGTCCGAGGAAGAATCAATTTGTTTGTGGATTGGAAAATCGTATGATGGAATAGATAGGAAAACAACGTGTGTGTGTGGGGAATGGAGCGAGGAATGGTTGAATATTGGCCCTTTGTATACGAGGAGGGGGGGATGTGCTCTGAAAGGAGGATCACGATAAGATAATATACTGTGTAATGCCCATGCAGGTCTTCAGTATTGTCAGGCTGTGGGTAATAATAAGAGAAACGGAAGCAAGTTTAACTGAAAGCATTACAGCAGATGATGACACTATTCTTGTGGCAGTCCAGAAGGAGTAAATTAGTACTGAATGTGAACAAAGGATAAGGACGGCGGGTCGTGTTAGGGGTGGATGTGTCATTATCAGAGCATACTCAGCAAATTGTACCACCGTGTGATGGTTTTACCTGATGCTGCCTCTATAGTCGTGGAGTAATGTGGTGGACACTATTTACATCCAGGTTAGCTTTTTCATTTACATTTTATTCATACCGGTTAATTAAAGAACATTTACACCTATTGATTTGAAGATAGTGTCAACAAATAACTGGGCAGTGTAGAGATAAATGAGGGGCGCGACTATAAACTGTATGTGAACCGCTACACACTATTGACGCCCGACCTGCCTGTCTGCCTGCCTGCCTTTCACCTGCCTGCTACGTGACGTAACAACCTGCACACCATGAATTCCTACCCAGATAAAACTCGGTGACTAAATGACATAGCCATTAGAGGAGGAAGGGTGGGGGGGATCTTGTGTACAATGAGAGTTGTGTGTGTGTGTGTGTGTGTGACACTGATCATCGGCTCGTCGGCGTAGGCCCTCACTTCATGTCGCCTCAAAATGGTGAAGCGGCAATCGTCCGGAAAGGTCTTAACACTAAGCGTCTGGAGGATCTAGCGGTAGCATTATGCTTTCAGAGACAGCTCGAACGTGGACTGATAAACAACCCGACAACAAACAACCCCAAATCCCAGTGCCGAATGGGTTATTCTCGACTCTGTCGCGGCAAAAACCTGCAGAAGAATCTCGGCCAGATCGAAAGAATACACCAGGACTGGTTTGATGAAAATGACCCGGCAATCAATGTACTCGTCGATGATAAACGTGCTGTGCTAACTGACTGGTGGAACAACCTCAGTCTCAGACCGGCTGATACCTTCCGCAAGAAAGCGGCTGCTCAGCAGGAACTTCTCCAATCTTAAAGCGGCTGGTGTAAAACTAAAGCATGTGAAACAAAAAAATTTGGCCACCAAATTCATCACCATAGCGAGGCAATTCCTGAAGCCGAACGGCGGTGTCCTGCACAATGGCACCCAGCCTGAGTTCTTCCCCATCCAAAGCAGGAGTTAAACAGGGGTGTGCTGGCACAACTCTCTTTTCCATTTTTCTTGGCTGCCTTCCTTACTCGTGCCAGCGCCAATCTCCCCCGGCAGGGTGGACATCAGTACCGGTTGAAGGGTCTTTTTCAATATAAAGATGACTCCAGGCACGAACAAGGTGTCGGCAGCTTCCATTACTGAACTTCGGTATGCAGACGACCTCACCCTTGTAGCTCACACTGAATGCGACCTACAAGAGATCCTGAACACCTATGCAGATGCGTATGCACACTTCGGCTTTGAGGGTGAATGTGCGTAAAACTCAGGTTCCCTTTCAGCCTGCTGGTTCAGCCACACCACCATCCAACCAGCTTAATGGTACTACCCTCTAATGTTACCCACTTTCGGTATCTCGGCTCCACCTGTCCAACATCACAGACATCAATGAAGGAATTCAGCATCAGATCAGATGAGCATCTCAAGCCTTTGGCGAACTCGAAGCCGTGTCTTCAGCTGTAGGGAGCTGAAATTATCTACAAAGGTGCACATATCGAGCAGTGGTCCTCCCCACCATGCTATATGGCAGTGAGACATGGGTCACATACAGGGAGGCACCTCAAGGCACTTTTAAACTTTCACCAACAGCATGCGTTCCATCCTCCGAGTTTGCTGGGAAGACTAAAAATGCCAGTATTCTTACTGACACCAGCTGTAGAAGCATCGAGACTACCATTATCCATGAACACTTCACCGTTGGACTGGCCATGTTTCCGCATGGACTGATAAGTAGACCAAAGCAGCATAACAGTCACCTAACGAATAGTTAACGAAACGCCGGTGAGCAACTGTGTGTGTGTGTGTGTGTGTGTGTGTGTGTGTGTGTGTTATACTTTTCTCTTTCACATTTCCTCACCTAAAACCTCGCTCCTACCCTTCCCCCCCTCCCACCCATCCTCACCCCTCCCCCTCCCACCCCATCCCTCACCCCTCCCCCCCTCCCCACCCCATCCCTCACCCCTTCCTCCCTCCCACCCCATCCCTCACCCTCCCCTCCCACCCCATCCTCACCTCCCCCCCTCCCACCCCATCCCTCACCCTTACCCCCTCCCCACCCCATCCCTCACCCCTTCCCCTCCCCACCCCCATCCCTCCACCCTCCCCCCTCCCCACCCCATCCCTCACCCCTCCCCCCCTCACACCCCATCCCTCACCCCCTAAATTCCTCACCCTTACCTCCACCACCCCTTCACCCCTGGCTGCTCAACCTAATAAAAATTAAACCCCTAAACTGAGGTGGAATTGAGGTGCCACTAATAGGTGACAGGTCTTATTTAGTGCAGTCTCTCCCGAAGCCTATTGCACCAAATTACCAACACTACCACCACTGCTACCACCATACCAACACTACCACCACTGCTGCCACCATACCAACACTGCCACCATTGCTAACACCATGCCAACACTACCACCACCACTGCTGCCATTGCCAACACTACCACCACTGCTACCACCATTACCAACACTACCACCACTGCTACTACCATTATAACACTACCACCACCACTGCTCACCGTTACCAGCACTACCACCACTGCTGCCACCATTACCAACACTACCACAACTGCTACCACCATTACCAACACTACCACCACTGCTGCCACCATTACCAACACTACCACTGCTACCGTACCAACACTACCACTGCTGCCACCAATTACCAACCCCACCACGCATTACCAACTACCACCACTGCTACCACATTACCAACACTACCACCATTACCAACACTACCACCACTTCCACCATTGCCAACACTACCACTGATGCCACCATTACCAGCACTACCATTGCTACCACCATTGCCAACACTACCTCCGTTTGGAATAAATTGCCAACATTACCACCACTGCTGCCACCATTACCAACACTACCACCATTGCTGCCACCATTACCAACACTACCACCTCCGTTGAGCCATTACCAGCATTACCAACACCGCTACTGCCATTACCAGCACTACCACCACTCATGCTACCATTACCAACACTACCACCACTGCTACCATTGCCAGCACTACCACCACTGCTACTGCCATTACCAGCACACCACCACCCCTACTTATGTTGCCAACACTACCACCATGCTTTCACTACCGTACCAACACTACCACCACTGCTACCGTTACCAGCGCTACCCACCACCCCTGCGTGTTGCCAACACTACCACCACTGCTACTACCATTACCAACACCTACCACTGCTGCTACCATTGCCAACACTACCACCCTGCTTATGTTGCCAACATAACCACCACTGCTACTGTTGCCAGCACAACCACCACCCCTGCTTATGTTGCCAACACTACCACCACTGCTACTGCCATTACCAACACTACCACCACTGCTGCTACCATTGCCAACACTGCCACCACCCCTACTTATGTTGCCAACACTACCAACACTGCTGCTACCATTGCCAGCAGCGCACCGCACTGCTACCATTACCAGCACTACCACCACTGCTGCTACCATTACCAACGCTACCACCACTGCTACTACCATTACCAACGCTACCACCACTGCTGCTACCATACCAGCACTACCACCACTGCTGCTACCATTACCAACGCTACCACCACTGCTGCACTACCATTGCCAACACTAGCGCCAACACTATTGCTGCTGCCACTAGTATCAATACTACCACCGTTACCAACACTACTGCAAGTCACTACTACCATCACCATCATCATTACCACCACTACCACCCGCCACCACTACCAGCGTACCATCACACCGTACCAATGCTACCACCACTGCTGCCCATCATTGCTACCAGCACACTACTACCACCACCACCACCATCATTACCTGGTTCTACTGCTACTACTACCACCGTGCATTTTACCACTACCTACTATTACCATTACCAATGCTACCACCACCACCACCACCACTACTACTATTGCCAGTTCTGCCACCACCACCACCATCATTGCCACCAGTTCTGCTACTACTACTACTCCCACAATACCAATACTACCACCACCACCACTACCACTACTACTACTATTAA